ACAGTTACATTGATGAAAATTTATCTAGGTCTTGCAAAATAAATAATAATGGTTAAAAATCATCTCATTTCCTTTTGACGTGTCCTATTGTACTAAATATATTAGAAAGTGTTTTTTTTAAAAAAAAACAGATTTCCTTTTGGTGGCCTTGATTTGTTTTCTAGTTAAGCAGCAATTATATAATTTTCATTATCAATGCCAAAGCCATCTGTCACTAGAAGGTATCAACCAGAAACCATTCAGACACAAACAGCAAAACCAGCTGTAACTCTAGAAGGCTTGTGCTTTCTAAAACAGAGCATAAGTTTTCCATCAGCTTCCGGGGGAGTGGGGGTGGGCGGAGGGTGGTACAAAGTACCTGAGACCCTCCAAGAAAAGACTGAGGCACAGAAGACAAATGTTTGTTTTGTAGGCCCATACCAGATCTCCCACTGAGATTATGCCTTCACTGACAGCTTACTCTCAGGGATCATTTACGAAGGGGTAAGGTCCATGATATACACTGCAAGGGGGAAGCCTGAGGAAGTTAGACACTACTGCAGGGAGCCAAGCCAGGATCCCAAAGTCTCCAACTGTGGGTTCTTAGAGCTAATTCTTGCCCCTCCCCAGCCCATGATCTATACCAGTGCTATCCATTAGAAATATAATGTGCAACACTTTCACACGCATAATTTTGAATTTTATAGTAGCTATACTATGAAGTAAAAAGAAACAGGTAAAATTAATTTTAACAACATATTTTATTTAACCTAACCTATGCAGAATATTTTCATTTCAATATTTAATCAATATAAAAATTTTTGGTACATATATGTGTATACACGTATATATATACATATGTAAATATATGTATGTGTGTGTGTATGTGAATGTACTAAGTCTTTAAAATCCAAGGTGTATTTTATATTTATAACACATCTCAATTTAGGCTAACCACATTTCAAGTGCTTAATAGCCATACTGGACAGTGCAGAGCTATACTAAAGCACTTGTTTTATATATTTTTTATTTTTATTTTTTTTGTGAGAAAGACTGGCCCTGAGCTAACATCTGTGGCCAATCCTTCTCCTTTTGCTGAGGAAGATGGGCCCTGAGCTAACATCGGTGCTCATCTTCCTCCATTTTTGTATGTGGGTTGCCATCAGAGCATGGCTTGATAAGCAGTGCATCAGTCCGCGCCCGGGATTCGAACCTTCGAACCCCAGGCCACCAAAACAGAGTGGGAGAACTTAACCACTACACCACTGGGCCAGCCCCATTTGTTTTTATTATTTATTTATTTATTTTTTACAGGAGGGTTCTTTTTTTTTTAAGCGTAATTATTTTCTTTTTTTTTTTCTTTTATTTATTTATTTATTTTTTACAGGAGGGTTCTTTTTTTTTTAAGCGTAATTATTTTCTTTTTTTTTTTCTTTTATTTATTTATTTATTTTTTCTCCAAAGCCCCAGTAGATAGTTGTATGTCATAGTTGCACATCCTTCTAGTTGCTGTATGTGGGACACAGCCTGAGCATGGCCAGAGAAGTGGTGCGTTGGTGCGCGCCCAGGATCCGAACCCGGGCCGCCAGCAGCAGAGCGCGAGCACTTAACCACTAAGCCACAGGGCTGGCCCTGTTTTTATTTTTAATTGTAGACAGAATCTTATTTAAAATAGCCTAATGTGTATATTGTTAGATCATAAGTTGTTGTCAGATGTTTAAATACAATGATTTTAATTTCACTCTTGACTACTGCTGATGTCATTTTCATTACCCAGAAGCCTATCCTGCTACAGTTCCACAGAGGGTCAAGAAAGATGATTCAGAAGCACGTCCTTTAAGAGTCTCCATGCCATGCACAGAGCCAGTGACTTTAGTTTGGGTGTGGCGAGCTGACCTCAGAGTCTATTATGTGAGTGGTTTTCACTTTTGTTTTTAGTTTATTTTACTTTTCTGCTCTCCCCAGCTTTATTTGGGAGTGCAATCTAAGGAAAGTATATTTGTTTTGCAAGCACACTATGATTTGCTCAGATTTTTAAATGACATATGTAGGATAACACCCTCCTTATAATAGCATGGTCAAAGGTCTGTCAGTGTTTCCATTAAAAATTCAAACTTTCCAGGATTTATGACACAGCCATAACAAATTGCTCCAGGCAGAAACTTGGCAAATCTTTCTTTAGCATAGGAGGAAATTGTTAATAATTTTTTTAAAGATATAAATAAATAAATGTTTACCATTTGAATTTACTCATAAGATTTTTTTGTTAGGGAAGGCATTCAGATAAAATACATCTCTGCATTTTGCTTGTTTTACAAATTTGAAATATTAATATTTCAAATTATTTTTGCCCTCCCACCTTCCAGATGTTATGCAATTGCCCTCCTACCTCCCAGATTTTCAATGATTCTAGTATTTGATTCTCATATTTGGAAGTCTGATTGATGTAATGACTCTGAGAGGTGCTGGATCAATCAACTATGAATCTTTATGTTTCATCATGGTCAAAATGAACATTTTTTCAAAAGATTAAGATTTGTTTTGCTGTGAATTCCTTGCAGACAGAGATGTCTTACTCATCTTTATATTCTCAGATCCTAGTTATTGTAGATGCAAAATAAATGGCTGCTGGTAAATAAACAATAAATACATGAGAAGCAGCTTGAGAATTAAGACAGTCTCTTATTTAAATATTCACTATTAAACATTCACTATCTAGTAACTGAAAAACTGTTAAAACTGCAAAGAACACGCTGCTGGATTTGAACTTCTACCATTCCCCTCCTCTCTGAACACCTGAATGGATTATTGTAACAATTAAATGACCCAGTGCTCTCAAGGCACAACCTGGTTCCAAAACTTTTTTGAGGCTCGGCTTTCCTATGTCTCAGCCACCTCACAGAAGTGTGTGAAGATGCAGTGAGGAAGACTGTGCAAGTATGAAATGCTACATAGATATAACTGAAACGTAAACCCTCACCACTGCAAACATAAGGATAAACCCCTACAATTACTGTGAAAGTAAACATGGTGAAAAGTTCACATTTTTTCACCAACATATTTGACTCCAAATGAAATGAATTGATCTGACGTAGCGTTGGGTTAACTGACCCCAATGTTCTTAGATAAACAGGAGTTACTCTTCGAATTGCCTTTTATTCTGGATCCTGTTATCTTTATTTCTGACGGGAGAAAAACTAAGGCATCTTTTCCAAGTATGACTTTTGAGGTTTACTTTCTCTTAAGAATTCAAGCCTAAACTCTAAATAAGTATAGCTATATTGTATTTAATTTCCAATCTGTCCAATTATCTAGTTGTTATAACTTGGTAAGCTGTTTGAGTTTGCTTGTTTTTGTTTTGCTTTGTTTTGAATGATGTAAGAGGTTATTTCCAATGAAAACTTATAGTACAATTTAAAATCCCTTACCATTTGGAGGGCCCATGCACTGGTGTTATTAAGCACTCTTGTGCTCCCTCTGCTGCTGTGAAGAAAACCTTCACATTCAAGACCCCAGTACATTGCTCCCAGAGTGTTCTCTCAGCAATGATGATGCAGATTTGTGCATAAATCAGGGCTCTTTGGAAATGCAGTACTATTTGAACAAAGCATAAAATATAATAATTTTCCATTAACAAGTGCAAATTAATAACAGGGTGAGGGAGTAAAAAAAGAATAAATAGAAGAATTAAGTTCTGCAGCTGTGGCCAGATTCATCTAGACAGGGCCCCGCAGTATAGACAAGGTTCTTCCCACTATAATGTGCTTAGGAATCACAAGACAGATCCTGATTCAGTAGAATGGGGTGGAACTCTCATTCTGAATGTCTAAAAAGTTCCCAGATGCTGCTGCTGTTGCTCTGAAGATTATGCATTCAGAAGCAAGATGTAATACATAATTATATGATAGAATATACACTTGATAGCCCATTTTAAACCTTCAAAAGTAGATACTACCAAAACAGTGAAACAGACATAAGGGTTGAAAATGATTTTCCATGGTGTTTAAGCAATCCAGAACACATATTAGGAGTAAGGCTCAGCAGGCCTTATTTCTCAATTTGCTCTAATTTCAAAGTTTGGCCTATGCTTGTACGAATATAGTATCAAGTTTATGAATAGGACTATAGTACTACATTTTTGCCTACTGGCTTCTTGAAAAGCCATCTCTTCTTTCATTGAGTTTTTATTCACATGAGAAAGTCTTGCTTTTAAAGAATCAGTGCCAGTTGTTTGTGATTGTACGTTTAATATTTTGCCATCTGAAAAGAAAACATTTCAGTACTGAAGGTAAAGAAACTCCATCATGAGTATTATGTTTATGTTGGACCTTGCAGGAAGAAACAGTTACAGATTTTAATGGCAGTTTATGGCTTTAATCTTAATGGCTAAGCAAGTAAATGACACATTTTTTATTAATTGTTCTTACTGTTTGGGTAATATACATATTTCGCTTCCTTGAGGGAACATTTAAATTAATTGACTAATTCTAATCTGAATTATGTGTTTTCATTTAAGGCTGTTAAAATAACTTAAATTAACTGCTTATGTCAATGTAATAATTAAAAGATTAGCTCTTTTTTACCCCAAATTCTCTACACATAAGATGTCTAAAAATAGAGTGGAGGTGGATTGGACAGTCTGCAGATTAGGAGTTGGAATAAAAACATCTCAGTTAAGCCAAAAACATGGCAAGCAATATTTTCTGTTATAAAAATATTTTAGATGAATTTAGTTTTTATGAAATCTGTCTGAAACTGAAATGAATAGCAGCAGCTCTCTGTTTATTCGCAGGCCAGTAATATAATACCTGCCGCACAACGCATACGGCTTTTACGTGCAGAGCCAACAAGCTTCTGCTCCTTTCAGAAGCCGGCTCTGCCAAGTGGGGGGAAGAGATATTACCCGGTTATGTTCTGAGATGTTAACCTTCACCTTGATAATGCTTGTCAACGAAAACACCACCAGGCAGAGCCTTTTCAGAAAACTGATTTTAAACTGTCCACTAGAGGCTGTAAGGAGACCAACAATATCACCTTAGTCCAACCTCGAGGTTTAAACTGTAGCAATCATTGATTGTTAAATGATAAAAAAAAAGTTGTAGACATGAGTAAGAGTGAACAAGAGTAATTCTATTTAAGTAGCCATGTATATGTGCATGGTATTTCAAAATGTGAGAAAAAAATGATTTCCGGGGCCCTACACCTTCCTAGTTAGTATGCTTATTTTTATTTCTGTAGCACGTTGACTCTACAATACAGTTGTTTAAAAGCTGACATATTTCTCTTGGTGATTCTGTATCCTGCTTCAGTTGGTGACTAACCGTTAGATCATAAGTAAACTCAGCCAAAAGTTTTCTTAAATACAGCTTACAGTCAGTAGTGGTGGCTTCCCGAGAGAAACTTACGTGGAAGGATCATGTTTCCAGACACTTGGTTCTAAGCACCTGAAGAAAGTCAAACGCTGTCCCGACACCTACTGGTCTTCCAGAATTATCTGCATTAAGGAGAACGCCCCACCGACCTCGCTATAGCGTGGATGTGCTTTCTCTTCCTCCAGGTGCCAGACCTGTTGGCAAGGTGCACTCCTCCAAAGAAAATTCTTTCCCATCGAGCTAACACCTGGCAGTGGTAGATGCCGAGGGGGCGGGATGGTGGGGAGTTGAGAACCGCACTTAAAAATTGAGTCCAGAGGAAGTTCTTCAGCGCGGATTCACAAGAAGTGCCATTCGATGCTCGGTTTGCTTTCTTTATCTCCTACACTGGTTACCTCATTTCCGATTAAATTAATGATCCCGAATTAGCTGCGAGAGGAGTGCGCGGGTCGTCTACCAAGGCTAGAGCTGGGTAGTTCAATACCCCAAGCAGATTTCCGGACCTGCAGAGAGAAAAAGGAGAGCAAGGAGGTCACCGGTTTTCGCAGGCAGTAAAGGTAAGGGTGCACGTGCAATCGGGGGGACTCTTAAAACTTTCTTGAGTTGCACGCAAAGGCAAGCCCCGCGGCCCGGTGGTCTGGGTTCCGGAATGCCCAAGCTAAACCGGTTTCAGGGTTAACTTGCATGACGATCGAAGTCAGCCCTCTTAGATGCTTCTCGGCGCGCCGGGGACGAAGGGCACGTCGGGATCAGAACTGGCCCACCTCCCCTTCCCCTGGGGTATTTCATGGGCTCGGAGTTGAAGCCCGACACCCCTCGGAGAGTCCTCCAGGGTGCCTGAGTTGCACCCTGATGTCGCTCTGTTTTCTCCAACTAGGTGCAGGGACCCGGGGAGGCGCGCGAGGACCGACCAGTCACCGCTAAAATTACCTCATCGCTTCAGCTCCCCGCCCCTTTCCCAAACCTGGAAGAACTCTCCCCTTCAGCCCGTGTCTCCCCTCCCGCCCTCCTCACCCCGATCGCAATCCAGTCTTTGGGAAACGCGCCCGCCTCCCCCGGGGCCGCCGAGCCCGGGCAGCGCGCACCGAAGGGTTAAGGGCGCGGGCCGCCGCTGCGCCGCGCGCTCGCGGTGCTCACAGCGGCTCTCTCCGCCGCCCGCCAGAGGGTGCCCCCCGCCCCCAAGTCGGATCCTTGAGCTGCGGCGGCGGCAGCCAACTGCTCCATATTTGGCTTCTATTACACATTTACATACTGGAGCGAGCGAGCGAGCGCGAGAGAGCGCCAGGGAGGGAGGGAGCGAGGGAGGGCGGGCGGAGGGGGGAGGGAGGAGGGAGGGGAGGGGAGCGGGGGGAGGAGGAGGAGGAGAGAGCAGAGTATACCGCAGACATCATTTCTACTACAGTGGCGGAGCCGTACAGGACCTGTTTCACTGCAGGGGGATCCAAAACAAGCCCCGTGGAGCAGCAGCCAGAGCTACAGCAGCCGCAAGACACTGTTTCTCTCCCTCTGCCCCCCCTTCCCCACGCAACCCCAGATCCATTTACACTTTACAGTAAGTGGCTATTTTTTTTTCTCCTCTGATTCTTTCCCTCCTCCCTCCCCCCATCCCCTTCTCCCCTTATTTAGATTAAAATCCCCCCCATCCCCGCTCTACCGAGAGGGGTAAAAGCAACAACCGGCAAACAAACCCCAAACCCCAAACCCCAATCGGCGGCACGAAAAACAGCTGGAAGAGGAGCGAAGGAAATCGACGCGTCGTGTTGTGTTGTGTGTGTGTATGTGTGCGTGTGTACATACAGCCTTCCCCTGCTCCAGCCTCCCGGGCCGACACCCCCGCTCTGGGCGCAGGGACGTCCGGCAGGGGGGCTGCCGGGGCCGGGTGGGCGCCCGCCGGGCGAGGGGGTGCGCCCGGTTTGGGGGCGCGGGCGGGGACAGCGGCGGCGGTGCCCCGCTCCGCGGCTGCCGGTCCGGCGGAGAGTGCGGAGAGCCATGTCCTCCTCCCTTGAGGTGGCGTAAGGGGAGACGGCGGCTGCCGGGGGTCGCGCTGCCCCCTCCTCCCGCGGCCCCCTCCTCCCTCTCTCCAAAGAGGGCGGCGAGAGCCAGTGGGTCTGGAGGAGGGCTAGGCTTCCCCGCGGGTGGCCGCCTGGCCTGCGAGCCCCAGGGTGGGGGTCTCCCCGCGGAGGCCGGGACTTTGCGCACGGCCGGGCGGTGGGAGCGCTGGGGGCGCGGAGGGGTGGGAGCGAGGGGAGCCGGCGTGCGGATGCCGGGAGCGCGGCTGGAGTGGCGGTGGCGGCCCTGGCTGCCGCCACCGCCGCCCTGTTGGTACGGCCGCTTCCTGATCATGTGCAGCGGCCGTCGCCGCCGGGAGCCCGCGAGCGCCCCGGCCCGGACCGGCGCCCCCGCCAGCGCCCGCAGCAGGAGCAGAAGAGCCGCGGCAGGCGCTGCCCTGCCTGCGCCGGGAGTGAACGGCTGCGCCGCTCCTGAGAGGGTGAATGAAGCCAGGAGGAGGGGAAAGAGGAGGCGGCGGCGGCGGAGGAGGCGCTGCGGGGATTGGGATGCGCCCTGGAGCCGCGCTGCTCGTTCACTCTGGGCCGTGCTGGAGGCTCTGCCACTCCCGCGGCCGCCGCCGCCGCTACCTCTTCCTACGTGGTTCCAGAGCTGCGCGCAGGCCGGTCCCGCAGGGGGCAGGGAAGGGGGCCGGACGGGCGGAGCGAGAGGTGAGGCGGTGGCAGAGCCCGGCGTGAGTGCGAGTGCGTGTGCGTATGTGTTTGTGTGTGCGCGGGGGAGGGGGGCGGCGAGGGCAGTCGCAATGGGGAGGGAGCCCCCTCTGTGGCCACTTGGCTGACTCTGCAGCGCCCCGACCCCTCCTCAGCCTCCCGCCCTCAGGCCGCCTTCCTAAACTCTGTAACTTGTGCTTTCATTTTATGTCAGACCACGTAGTGGGCTGACTGGCAGCGATGAAACAATTCAGGTTTTCTAGGGAGATTGAGCAAGAACCTTAGTGGGGGTTGGAAGTAGGGTGATGTTGGAGATCCTGCCAGAAAACAACAAAAAAAATCAGTTTCTAAGAACTGTGGGGTTCGGTTCAATCCCGTGGCTGCTCTGTTTTGTTTTGCTTTCTTAGTATATAATCCTACAGATAAGAGGGTAATATAAATAGTTGGGAAGGTTGGGAAATTGCTGAAGAGTAGTAAGGGGGGAAAAAAAGCCAGTCGGAAGCTGGTTATATAATGCGCGATGTGGCTAACGAGAACGGCAAGCTATTTTTATTTTGTTTACCGTATGCTGTGCAGTAGGGACTCCTCCAAACTGGTTCTGTCCCTGAAGAGATTCTTAGCTTCCGTGTGAGATCCACAGGATACAATTAGCAAAATTAGAAGACCCTTTTACACCCACAGAATAAAAACTAATGCCTTAGAGTGGCATGCTCCCTGCACATCCTGTCGTGCATGCACGGCAATGTGTGTATGCAAATAAGTTCTCCTTTGGGAATCTAGTAGTCACATTTCAATGACATTTGTGTTTTATAATGCAGGGTATTCTTAATATTTAAGCATCATCTTTACATAGAGCACACGCAGTGGGTAGTTATTTGGTGGTTATTTTTAGTCATAGCTAGTTACTTTTTCAACAGTGTTAGCTAAGCCATTTCTGTTTGGGTTTCTGAGGAGCCCTGCAGTTCCTAGAAGCCCCTGTTAAGCCCACCCTCTGGTGTATTTGGTGGGTGAAGGTAGTTGGATACTTGAGCTTTTTTTGGAATGAAGCTTATGCCCTTATGCCGGAGGAAGAACCAGAGAGAAGGATGGGAAAATCCTGCACATGAACTCGTGGAAAGGGATTGCACCATAGCGGCTAATGCTGTGGCGTTTAATCTCCTCTGATTGCCCTCTAACTGTGCATGCATCAGTCAATATTTTAGCAGCTCCACACACAAATGGTCTTGAATGCCACCTTCTCCATAAAGCAGAGGTTGAAGGGCTCTCCTGCCTGCCTTTCTCATCATGAAGATACTGTCAGTGGTGTAGGTTTTCAGTGCACTTACTCCAGCCCTGATCACTCATGTAATTAGATCAGGCTGCCATGGCAACAGACAGTGTTCCTCGTCCATTCAGGTGGGTTTGTCTTGTGCCTGGACTACTCCAAGTGTTTTATGCACAGTATTTGTGCTGCCCAAGCCAGACGAGAGACTTCACTATTTCAATTGCGTCTTCTTTCAGTCATCTGGACTGGAGACACTGAATGAGGCTTCTAGCTACTCAACTTTTATAAAGGAGACCCACAGGCTGTTCTTACTGGGTGCAGTATGTAAATGCATCTCCCTGGACAGTGAAAGGAGCCTAACAATCCTGCTGGTGTTTATTGTGAAGAGATCAACAAGTATTTGGTACTTGTTAGAAACCTTTCAGAGCTTACCAAAGCAACATTTCTTTTGCAGGCTGGTGCCTCTGGACTTGCAGGCACTTAACCCTTTCAGGTGTGAAAACGCTCGTCCTTTAGAACCTAAGTTGCCAATCGTCGTGACTGGTTTTTTAAGGGGTTTATTCAGTGCAAGTTATTTATTTGGGAAGGATATCTCCGTTGTCACATTTTAAAACTTTACAGCCATCATAATAGAAAACGGTACTGACAGTAGGCAGCCATTCTGAATGTACTCATTCTTCCTTTGGATCTGTTCCCCGTGATCTTTACAGCTGTGGCAGTTAGTTAAGAGGTTTTTGTCTCAGGTAAGAGAGGATATAGGCCTATAGCTGGTAGACTGATAATGTATGGTGCTTTTACACCATAAACAACTTGTACTCTATTTTGGGATATAATTTAATGAGCACTTAATAATTTAGAGAGCAGCATTCTCCTCTTTGCATTAGGGCGCCACCTTATTAAGCCTGCTAAGCAAAGAAAAATAATAGTGTTGCAAAAAAGAAAAGAAAAGTAGGTTTAGTTGTTGAAGCTCTGTATTGCTCAGGCATTCCAAATAAGGGGGAGTATTTTAATAACCCTGATATTTGAAAGAAAAATAATGGAGAAGAATAATGTCTTGATTGAGTTGTGACTCTGCCAGTCTGTTTACAGTGTTACAGCCCCTTAGCTAAATTGGTAAATCCTTTTTTTCCCCTGGGGCTAGGATTGAGAGAGCTACTCAGTGCTCCTCACAGGGGGTTTACGAGTTTCTACCGGTTAGTGAGTTTATGTGGTTGGTAACTTGATTGTGGCCTGCTCAGATGAAGCATTACTGTTAAAACGGGCTATTATTTATAGGAGGTAAATAGATGGGAAGCAAGGATATAAAGTAAGGCACAGAAGTTTAAGTTTTACACAACACCTTGGTGGTCCTGGATTACCTTTTGCAGCATACAGAAAATTGCTTTCCTTGCAGTGAACTGTGAATGTGTGTTTTTGAGTGCACAAATAAATTCATGCTAAAGTAAGTTGAAAAACGTACTTGATTGGGAACAGAAAAAGACAATATTTTGTTCTCTGGATTTTGTTATAAGGGAGTTTGATAAACAGAAGTGATACTTGATCAGAAATATTATAACTCGGCTTCAGGGCCTCTGAATTGCCTTTTACTCTTAGGGAAAGATTAAAAAAAAACTCTAGCCGTTAGATTTTGTGTCAAATATCTGTAAATGGCCTTATGTTTCAATGTACCTTACTCAGTTGTCTGGGAGTCCTGGGACGGGCCAGCCTTAAAAGATTATTAAAATATTAGTTTTCTACGACTCCTGTTTTTGTTGTCATTACACAGTTCAAGGACTCACATTCCTCTTACATCGTGTGCCTTTATTTTTTTTTTCCATTTTGAAATGTCAAGTGGATTTTACTTTTGCATTTACCTTGAATGACAGTTTCTGATGACTAACACACTGTAACCCTGGCTCATTTTGTTTCCTATTAGAAGTTAGTCCATAAACATATTTTACTAAAACCCTGAAATTTAGTAAAGATAGGAGTGAATATTAATTGTTTAAACTATAGTTGTCTGAAAGTAACACATAGTCTAGACTCTGAAAGGCTTCAATACTTGTATATGTAAAGTAACATAGTACAGCAAGACAGAATATCATTTTCAGGGGGAGATAGATAATTTGATTTCCATTGCTTTATGTTTTCAGAATAATTCAATAATTTGAATGATTGACTTCTGTGAGAGATATAAGTATGTGCAGCTTAGCTTCTTCAGAGAACAGATTTAGTTTTGGTCATACTTCCAAGATTATCAGAAACGGGCCTTCCTTATTTCGTTAGAAGCATCAAAAATAATAAATCGTAGAAATCCCAATAGATTTCTGTTTTAAGACCTTACATACAGGACTGCCCTTTTTTTAAGAATGAACTTTATAGTCATCGATCATGCTATTCAAATTTTAGTTTCATTTAATTCAGTTTAATAAAATGCTCATTCAAAAGTTCTTTAAGAGGTGATGTAATAATGAGTATGCCGAATGTTAGTTTTAGAGAATATTTTTAAATGTTAGCTGAAAGAGTTGTAATTGGATCGAGGTTTTAAAAAAATATATAAATGCTTAAAATTACAAGAGTAATAAAAAAACTTTAGGTAAATAATCTTTATTTGTGGAGGCAGTTTTTAAAAATCTTTTTCTTATTTTGTAATTTATATATTTCTGTCTAGCAGTGTAGTAATATATTTTATAATCCTTATAAATGTAAACTCTTCAGGCTAATGTATTATAAATATTTATACTACATGTTACTACCATCTCAAATGTACTAAAACATGTTTAGAACTATTACAGACAAAAAAGCAACAAGCATTATATTTTTTTTGACATATTTGATGTGAGGAGAAATGTTTCATTGATTTTTCTGTAACTTTTAATGCATCCCATTTGTCGAGTAATGAAAATGCAATGATAATTGCCATAATGTAAGCAAAATTTTATCCTGAAAAGTGACTTTTCAGAAAATTCATTATAGTGTAATCAGACTTTGAGACTTAAGGGGGCAGAGGTTCCCCTGAGTATGGTATTTTGATTCAGGCTGAGAGGAACTCTTTTTTCTTTTTTTTCCCCACTTAGGTGCTCTTTAACATGACATGTTTCGAGGGAGTTATTTAGCAGAAGTTTTTAGTGATAATTGTCATAGCTGCAAATCTATAAGCATTTATGCTTCTAACATTCGAAGAATATGTAATTTTCTATCCCTGTGTATGGTAAATTTTCTTTTATTGCACCCTTAGCTTTGGCCTATTCTCCTCGAAGTATTTATATTACCTCCTGTTTTTATATTATTTGTGCATTATCTCCTCCTTACTAACTATCACGTCAATATTATTTAGGCCATCTTTCTTGGTAATCTGCCGGTATTAGTAGTATTGTGTTATGTTGCTCTGCTGTGCTTTTAACATATTAAATATTTCATTTTTAGTGTATATATTGTATAAAACATTCTATAGGTTATTTTCTTGTATATTGTTTGTATGTTTTTGCAACAAATCCACTCTGCCTTGCTTTTTTAATTCTTGTGTTCTTTTTCATTCTTCCCTCTGATGGAATACAGCAAGTTATGTTAACAGTCCTAATTACGCTAACTGGTGTAGCAACACAAGTATTTTTGAAATAAGTAGGCATACTGATGCGAGAGTAAATTAATATTTTACAGCATTTGCATCATGTTTGACTGTTCTCTGCACTTAGCAGAATAGGAGGAGACTGTAATTTGGACTCTATAAAACCTTATCTGCCAGGTGATATGTAAATAGGATTGTGTGCACACACATCAATATACAAGCAAACACTCTCTCAACTGTTAGCTCATAAAGCCAGCCCTGTCTGCAAATCCATGGTACCTGCACCTTGTTTGAAAATGATTATCAAGTATTTTGATGCTTCATTTGAGATGTTATTAGATAAAATCAACTCCTACCCCCACCCCCTTGAAACAAGTACTGTGTAAGAGTAAATAGAATTTTGTGAGCTTGTATTTAACTTGGCCACTATTTATATTTGTAACTCAACAAGCTTCTTAGTGGAGGGATAGTGTCTTCTGAGGACTTGAAAGACATTGTAGTCTAGAACAGCTTACCTTCTTTCTCTATACTCACAAATTGCATGTGGGAAACCAAGGACTAGAAAACTTACTTCTTCTGCATATCAGTCCCAGGCATGCAAGAGATGCTTAAATAAATACTTGGTGAATGAATTAGTTAGAAGTAAGAATACTTTGGCTACTATTCATTACTTTGAAAAGTGTTGGAAAGCAATTGAAATTATTTTCCTTTCCAGCTGGGCTGTGCTCTTAAAAATAGTGAGTGTGTATGGATGAAAATAATCATGACTACTGAGATGTGTTGCCATGTACCCGAGGATAATTGGCTCACTTACCTGTTTACAGATTATTCACTTTGCAGATCATATTCATAGCTCCAGAATAGTTTCTTTCTGACACTCAGTATAATCCTGGGCCTTCTCTTTCCTACTGTTACCTGGCGTGGGCTTAGGAAACCCAAGCTAAATTTAAAATCAGCCTAAACAGATATGCAGATCAGCTCCAGTCATCAAGGACTGAAAATCAGTCCAGCAATGACTAGTTTGGGGATTATTTTATAATGACTGTGCTCCTGATTCTGTCTATTTCATGTGGACAATTGGGAATTACCAGTATTTAGAAATACTATTTTAATAGCTAGGGCTAAAAGTTATGTTAGCAGATCGAGTCTTCAACTTCTTCCATTTCTATGCATAGGTCTTTACCTCACAAAAACTACTACAAGCACCAAGCTCCCTGATGGAAAGGTATATGGAAGATTCATTCATTCTTTCTTTCATTCATCCATTCACACATTCACTCATTCATCGTACAGTGGATAATTTTTACTTAACCATGTGTAAGGCATTGTGACAAAATGAGAATGAAGTAGCCATACATTCAATAATTTACTTAAAGATTAGTGGAAAGTTGAGTGAAAACATGCATACTTTCAAAGTTTTTTCTGCACTTGATAATTTTCTGTCCCATTACGCTGGTCTCCTAATAACTGTGCTCTCATGATTGGCCCTCACGTTGCATGTTGATAGTAATATATGCCACATTAAAATTAGACTTCGGCTCAATTACTATTCAGTCCATGCCCATTTTCACATGATATTCCTGTGATTACCAGCATGTTTATCCGATGATTGGTTAGAATCATTAGAGAAAAGAATGACAGTGGCTGGCTTAAGTGGGGAGACCAAGCTCTTCACTTGATTGAAGGGATGACCTTTTTGTATGTTGGCCTCCCTCCGAGCCCTGTTGAATAAAACCAGACCTGCCTTTGTAGCTGGCTGGTATCTGTGTAATTCTCATAAAGCAAAATGCAAAATTTGATGTTCTTGAAGTTCAGATTTCAGTGCATAGACACGTTCAGGGGGAATTATTTTTTAAAGCAATTTGTTCTGTTTTTCATTTTAATTTCTTCTCCTGCCTTCCCTGGACCATTGCAGGAGCGTCGTGCAGCAAGTCACCAGGGTAGTCCCTTCAAGCTGCAGATTTGTTGGTCATCCTTGTACAACAGTCTTCTCCACGGCCACTACAGGGAAGTCCATCATGTATCAGGTGAGAATTTTGCGATGCTCGCTAGTTTCCATCTGAGGATCAAGTCTGACCTGGGAAAATCGCCTACTAGCCGTATGTTAGCACTTTGTGGACTGTTTAACATAATTGTCTTCGTAAACTGTACTGTGTGGGAAATTGGGAAATTGCCCAGAGAGGTTTTTTAAAACTTGGACGAAAGTGTCCCTCTTTTGGGTGTTATTTATTTGTTTAATGAAGAAGTCTACATTTGACTTTGTGATGATGGATTATTGTGTGTTGGGCTTGAGCCTGATCCTTTTAATCGTCACCTTTACTTGGTGCAATGAGAATGTTTTTGCTACCAAACAGTTATCTTAAGTCCCAGCTTTCGTGTTTGAGGTTATTGTTATAGTATGACACATGTTTCGGGAGACAGAGGCCTGTTTGTTCAGTGGCCACCAGTATTTGTTGAATCTTGAATTGCTTTGTGTCTGTTTGGATTTTACAACTTCCTGATTTCTTCATGTACAGTAAATTTTTCTGACCCGGAGAGTCGTGCAGACACAGGCTGTATGCAGGGTTGATGACTCATGGTTCTCTGGTGAAGAGAGGACAAGAGGAGACTGCCTAACTGAAATCGGGAGAAATGGAAGTTAGATAGAAGTTGGGGCAATCAGAGTTTGGGAACACTGATGTACGCAAGCAAAGGAGATGGTGAAATAGATCCCCTCTTTCTATTTGCCTTGGGAGTAGTCCTGCTCCAAGCTGTGGAAATAGACTAGTTCAGAGGTTCCCAAGCCTGGCTGGGCATCAGAATCACTGGGAGAGGTTAAAAAAAAAAGAATTTGGGGCCCCACCCTAGACCTACTGAATCAAAATGAGCCTTCATGGTCTCTTGGAATCATACTGATGCTCCATGTCTGGGCAGCTCTTCCCGAGTCCTGTTCTGTTTCCTTACTTGGTGAGATGCACAGTCTACTTTTACCAAACCTCACATACAAAAGTCTGAATTTTCAACTAATTTGTTAAGAGGTGGATATCTGCTTTACCAAAATGTTCATTTTAAACGTGATTCACCAGATTTCTTTAGATAAAGAGCTGCCTCTCCACGCCTAAGATTCAGCGTTTAAGTTACATGTAAATTCCGTGGCATCTGAGATAAGAACATGGGGCTGTGGAACCAGCCTGTCAGGATTTAAAATCTAGAGCTGCCCCTGTGACCTTGGGCAGCCCTGTAACCTTTCTGTGCCTCAGTTTCTAAGTGTGTAAGATGGAGATAATATTAGAACTTTCTCCCAGGGCTTCTGTGAGGATGGAGTGGGATAATCTGCAGAATAGTGCCTGGCCTATGGTCTGTGATCCATGGACATAAGCTATCACTGTGATCATGAAACTTATCTCTTGACAGGGTAATTGTAATGTTCTTGTTTTGTGATGGTTGCTCCTGGACCATACATGACTTGGAACAAGTAAATATACCTGTACCTTGGTCTTTGGACCAACACTGTAGACATTTGCAGTTCTGCAGAGCAAATGAGCCTTTTGTTTACTTTTCTGAATTTTGCGTTAGTCCAACTTTCTTACTGAGATAGGGTGCATATGTATTGTTTTTACATTGTTGTAAGGTGACCGATGAGTTGCGTGCATAAATGAAGTATCTGTGGTCTGAGTAAAAATAAACAAAAACCTGAATGATGAGGGTACTGTGCCTCAGAAAGGGTAGTCAGCAAAGTCCTGTGGGGGGTGAGGCAGGAAGTTATCACAAACACTGTATCCTTGTGAAATATGGAACTGGGTACTTTCCGTTTTATTGGCTGTGGGTTAGGGAGGTGTTCTTAAAAGAAAATTGAATAACTCCAGAGTTACATGCAAAAGCAAACCTCTTCAGGTCTACAGGTGTCAGCTGAATGGGGCTACAGTGTCTTATTGCTACTTTATCTTTTAGGAGTGTTATGCATTTTAACAGTTATATGCTAGGCAGAAAATCTTCACATGTAAGTTTTTGGGGAAGTAGTTTAATTGCCTATGTGGTTAATATACATGCAGATTTTTTTTAACCTGCGATGTTTAAGAGAATCATTTGTTAAAACAGAAATATCTCAAGAATTTTATTGTGAAAAAACAGGCAGCAGGAAGTCATATGTCTTGGTCAATATGTGTAGCTTTTTGAGAAAAGATCCAGATTTTTATAGTATAGTAAGCAAGTCTGAGTGTCTTATGAATACTCGTATTACTGACAGAGTAGTGCAGCGTCACCTTGAATTTTAAGCAGCTGACATTTTCTATGATTACATTTAAAGGAAGCTTATAAGCATTATCTAAACATTTTGCATAAATAATGGCCTCGTTACAGTCCTCACAATTGATGGCTAAATGTGGGCAGGGAAACAGTACCATTCATATTGTCCTCTGTTATATTCATTAAGGTTTTTTATTTTTAAATTAAAACCTAAATTATAATTATTTCTGGTTCTACTTATTTTATAAATATGATTCAGCTCTAGCAAGTTATGACCTAACTTGTTCACAGGCACTATCTATGTAAAGAAATAATTCATTCATTTATTCACTGTGTATTTTTTAAACTACTCCACAGTGCTGTGGGAATGAAAGTGAGTAAGTGCTACCAGAAGGAGGTTATATTCGTCGTGGTCAGGTAGGGGAAAGCAGAAATGCTCTGAAATACCGAATGGAAAGCAGAATGGGGTGGGTTGTACTTACTGGGGTAAGTTCTAACACAGAAGGAATTCAGAAGAAGGATGCTGAGTAGGATGCTGAGGAAAGACTTGGAGGAGGAGGGATCGTTTGAATTGAACCCTGAAGGCTGGTTAGCATCTCTGTGGGAAGAGATGGATCGAGCGGGAGGAAGACCATTTAAGTGGCCGAGACATAATGAGCAAGTGCATGGTATGTAACTGATGAGGCCGTTTTGGCCGAAGCACAGGTGTTGTGGACATCTGAGTTGCTGGAGTCGGGCAAACAGTAGAGAGTGGGAGAATAAAATTGCTAGAGGTCAGGTCTGGAGATAAATTTGGAGGAATCATTGGCATAAAAATGATCTTTGAAATTGGGCTTGCGATTCTTGTGCCTGGCAGAAAGTTTCACAGGCAGGAGGGCATGATTATATTTCAGCGATGACATTGGCTGGCGTAGAATATGTAGAGAGACGGTAAGAGGCAGTGGAGGCAGCGGAGAGGAGCTGGAAGGTTGGTGTGGCACAGCCTTTGTATGCTTCCTCTTTAAGACCCGAGGCGAAGGGAGATCGGGTGGAGAAGCTGGGGTGATGCACGGGTGGATAATGGGGGTCTTCTCTACACGCCCAGGAGTCTTGGAAACACAGTGCTGAACTTCAGCTCAATGAAATCTTGGTGACACCTTTATTCCTTTAAGACCTTTAAAAAAAACGGGAACTTGAGCTAATTTGAGCTAAATCTAATATGTGTGTGTATGAAAATGAATGCTGCTTTTGAAATTCAGCGCATGCAGGATCTCTTTTCATTTAAACAAAATTTTCCCTCTATTTTCCTCTAAACAGTTTTATTAAGAAGATTTTCAGTGAAGCCCTGTACATGTTAACAATTCCAACATTTCCTTTGATCTTTTCCACTACTGATTTATTCATCTCAACGCGATATGCGTAAATCACATTGGGCCATCTACTTGACTCTGGAGCAGTTGTTCATTTGTGGCAATTCATTTACTGTACTTTGATAAATCGCATTAATATGGGTATGTTTTGTAACTTTAGAGGCTTTATGTGGACTCTTTGAAATGTGATGTGTGTGTGTGTATCCAGCTACTAGCTGCAGCTTTCTGAACAGTTTGGCTTCCCATCTATACATTATAGAAAATAAAGTAATATAGAATTAGTGAGCCTTGGCTCTGGGGAGAAAGATCCTTAGACTACATGGCTCAAAATGAAGGAGAGGGCTGGAAATTACCTGGTTACATTGCTGTTATTGGGCAGTCTCTTTTAATGTAATTGGAGAAAATTTGAAGATAATTCAAGGCTTTTTTTTTTTTTTTAACCTGTGTTATTTAGATGAGGTGCCTGTATTCCCCAAAATGGCCCAGGATGAGGCCATGACTTACTTTCCTTTCCTAAAAGACAAGAATGTTAGGACAGGAGTGATAGGGATGGAGAAAAGAACTCCAGGGAGCAGATTATTCTGTCTACAAATATTTAATGAACATCTAATGTATGAGAGGCATTATGCCAGCTAGGCCCTAAAAGAACTATAGAGATGCTCAATGGTTCACACTTTCTGTGTATTAACTCATTTAATCCTCACTGCAGTCCTCTGAGGTAGACACTATTATTATCTCCATTTCACAGATGAGGAAACTGAGGCACAGAGAGGATAAGTAACTTGCCAAGGTTGCCCAGCTGTTAACTGGTTGAGTCGTGCTTGGACCTCAGCCTGTACTCTTAACTGCTGCTGTGCATTTTCTCTCAAGCCCTGAGCTCTGTCCTTGAGAAGCTTACAGTGGAGTCCAGAAGGCAAGGCAAGCCAAGGAGTAATATTTAAAGAACCATAACAGAGGTGCAGATACTCTCAGAGGTCGGGATCTGAGAAGGGATCATGGGCGATGAGCCTTCAGGTGTGATGTTTGCCTGTCTGTATGTTTCTTCATCCCTCCCTGATATTCCTGTGTACTTTCAATAATTATTAATTGGAGAAAATGATGACAACAGCAATGTGCTTATCTGTGTTTCAGGGGGTTGGCTTAAGCTGGGTTCCAAATGTTGTTGAGCATCAAGAGTCCCAGTGAGATGATGAACTTTTGACTCTTCAAAGAGCTTCACTGGGTCATTGCTCAGCTTGCAAGATTTGGCAGATAGGAGCTATTTATCTGTCTGGTTTGATAGGTGACGGGGTGGCGCTGGAAGCCACCCTAAGAACAAAACATGCGGTGAAAGGAGGTCACGCTCGAGTCGGGGTGGCCACCAGGAAGCTCAGATCTCATATACCCTCCTGTCCCTGTCCCTCCTAGTCTCTCGTATTCTCTCTTTGACTGGCCCAGTGGCTGAATCTTAATGA